CTTGAAAATGTGAAAGGCTTCGAAGGTTCGGATGCGTGGCACAACCTCCTCGAAATCCTTATTGAATGCGATTATGACGTTCGGGTAAGTAAGCATCGGACCACTTGCAAGAGATAGCAATTTTTACTAACTCCACTTCAATTCGGAGTCCCGAATGGCCGATTGCGATACTACCTCGTTGCTCGTCTTCGAACTAGAGTTGAACAGCCCATGTTTAATTTCGGACACAGCGTAGAGCACCCACTGTCGCGCTCTACCCTCATAACCATGCCTTCCCACGAACTGCCACCAATACCCAATTGTGAATGTGTTGTTTGCACAAAAAAGGTCAGGTAAGCCTCCTACGCCCTATTCTAATTCTGCTAGAAAACGTTTTCACGCTGACTTCTTCGTAATGGTACCCCAGAAACTGTCATGATCCATGCGACTTGTCCTCCTTTCAGTGACATAGTATCACCTGAAAATCACTTCACTGAATACATACCCCTCTGTTCTCCAATATCGAATTACTTACTTCCTGATTGCGACGTCCCGGTACACCCACCAAAGTTCCCTAATATTTGCTTAGGAGAGCTTGTTTCTGGGGCGTAGCGAATTAACAAAATATCACCGAATCCTAGATATTGTAACCCCAAACAGCAAAAGGAGCGCCTGCTTCACTAAGGGTTATGCACATCGATTTGAAGGAACAGGCTCCTTTCTACAGGTGCCCCAGGTATTTCTAGTTCCATGTTGTTCTGTAAGATTGTTAACATGCTATCTTTTTTATTACAAAGCCGTCCAATGTGTTGAAGTCCTGCCCCGCCGACACAACGTGTTTACCCAGGATAAGGGCATTTCATTCGAAGGAGATAGCCAGATTACTTTGTTTTCCGGAGTATTTTGGTATGAGTATTTCTTTGTTGTCGGTGTTGCATTGGCTACCGGTAATGTGTGAGTTTGACGTTACAGAGTTCCCGGAGTCAGTAAATGAAAAGCAAAGGAGACGCCTTCTTGGCAACAGCATCAATGTCCTCGTGGTCGCCCACATCTTGTATTGGGCGTTCTCGTCATGATATTATCTCACTCAGTACAACAATTGCTGCCATGAACTCATTTAGCTACCAAGTGTTGGGACTCTAATAAAACAAAATTGAGTGGTAGTTTATTGCGTAGACAAAAAAAGCTGCTTGTACTTTTTATTCCATTCTTCAGCCGTTATTTTCTGGGGAAGGATATCTGAGAGGAATGAGTACCTATCGAATCTTGTTTGCAGTTCGGACAGTTGGTGGTAGTCTATCTCGCTGCGACCACATGAGTTGGATAGTGTGACCAACTCCTTAATAAAGAGTTCCTACAGGGCGATTAGGGTCAAAGCTCTGCTAACCGTAGCCTTTATCATTGATATAACGGACTCGGTACTGACGCACTCTACATCT